ATGGCACAGATTGGCAGCCTCGCTTCCGTCAGTCTGCCCCAGGGCAGCTGTGGCTACAGTAGTAGTTTACCACCACTGAGTGTTGACTGAATGAATAATGAACTGTAGAGTGTCTTTGGGAATCTTGAAAGGTGCTTTATAAATGCAATGATTAATTAATTAATTAAAGACCAAGACAAGACCGAGACCAGGCACCATCAAGACCGAGACAAGACCAAGTCCAAGCGCCGAGTCCACATACATACAGGACATACATGAACATTCACACAGACAAAGGCTCCCTCTTTTCTGGTTCACTCAAGGAAAAACTAAAACTAAAACACAACACGACCCACACCAGTCCATCTTTCCCACAATCAGGGAATAATTTAGCTCCATAAAATGCTTCTTTATAAAACAAAAATAGATGTTTATATAACTGTACACTGTATCTGTACAGCATAAGACTGAGGCATAAGACGGGGCGCGGTTTGAAGGGAAATGTTCAGATTTAGACTCCGAGACAAGACCAAGATTGTAAAAAAGTGGTGTCGAGGTCGGTCTCGAGTACTACGACACGACTAACTACTGAACATTCCAAAAATAGAAGCCTTGTGTGACCATACGTCCCTGTTTATCTGGGACAGTCCCAGTTTTAAGCCTGTGTCCCCCTGTCCCAGCAGATTTATACAAAAACACTGATTTGTCCCAATTTTATACATGAAATGTCCCAGGTGTCCTTATTATAGGTGACCAGTTTGATCTAAACCAGGACAAAACTGAGACTAAACCAGGTCTAAACCAGGACTATCTCAATTTTTTGACTAATCTAATCCTTGCCAACAGTAAAGAGGAGCATAAATTGTCATTTGTTTTGCCAAAAGGGTCAGTCCATATGAAATCAGACGTTTTCAAGGAATCTCCCCTATGAGCCACCTCAGATTTGGCTGAAAAAAAAAAAAAAAATCTAAACATTTCTAAAGTCACCAAATGAAAGAATCTCAAATTTTAGCTCAATGCCTTGAGTCGTTCCTGAGTTATGGCCCATTGAAATTTTGGGGCCATGCTCACTTTTTCCTTAATTTATAAGCATGTTTGAGAGACCAGAACTTCATAAAAAATAGAACTAGGAAGCTGAAATTATTATTATTATTATTATTATTATTATTATTATTATTATATTATTGTAGATTATTGGTCATAGATATTGAATCTGTTGTCCAATATCGTGTATCTTTATTAAGGGGGGCACTATTGGCCCCCAAAATCTCACATTTGGTTGCCGCTCAATTTTCTTTTCAATTTTTGAGGTCCAAGATCTATTTACTCCAAGCAGATATTTACAAACTAACTGCTGAACCTGAATATTTGAGAGAATGACCATTTCTGACAACAATCTCACACTTTTCTGAGTTTTCACGTGGATGGTGTAGAGTCTCAAATATGGTCACAGACCAAATGTGATCTTTTTGGCCCCTTCTTTGGAGCCTCGGTTCCCCATGTGGACACAGTTAGATGTTGATCAAATTTTTACCAGAGAAATTTTGGCATATTCTGATTAGTTTAAAGTAATAAAAACATCTACTATTAACTTCCTTCATTTCAAATGGAATTTTTGAAAATGAGTCTCACGGGTCATTTTTTTGTGGAGCTTAGGGACTTTTCCACCTGCAGAAATGTTCAATTCCCTTTAATAGACTTCAACACTATTTGCTTGTTATAAGGGAAGACAGTTGGAGATTATTTGTGGTACATTGTTTGTGATGGTTTTGGTGGCACAGTAAAACGCTTGACTGCAAAGACCAGTCTGACAGCAACCAAAATCTGACTGCACTCCAGATGTTTGAGTGGACTTCACAAAATATAAAGAATGTAAAGTTGTTTGTTTTTGTTTGTTTGTTTTTTGTTTGTTTTTTTGTTTTTTTTTTACATCAGATTCAAAATCTATGACCAAGAATCTATAATAATACAATTTTTTAGCTTCCTAGCTCTATTTTTATGAAGGTCTGGTCTCTCAAACATGATTATAAATTAAGACTTCCGAAAAAATGAGCATGGCCCCAAAATTTCAATGGGCCATAACCCAGGAACAACTCAAGGGATTGAGCTACTTTTTTTTTTTTTTTTTTTCGGTCAAATCTGAGATGGCTCATAGGGGAGGGCGGCTGATTTCATATGGACTGACCCAAAATACAGAAGTCTGTGTTTGCGAATGAACATAAAGCAAAAAAAACGCAGCGACAGAAGCTCCTCAGATCATGACCGACACGAGAATGCACAATGTTCCACGCTCTTTTCACAGTTTTATTTATACCAAACATCTCAACGCAGGTGTGTCCCAGTTTTGGTCACCCTACACATGCAGAGCACCCCCAGCATGATGCCACTGCAAAGACTCAGTAATAATAATAATAATAATAATAATAATAATAATAATAAGTGTGTTTCTTACCTGAGCGTGGGTGATTCTAGAGCCGTGCTGTTTGGAGACTGTCTGGGGTTTTGTTTAAGGACACACCTGTGAGCGCCTTTGTCGGTGAAATGTGCAGACTAATGACTTTTTCATGGACATATCATTCAAATTAGATGGAAAATACTGGATACGCATGTTTATGCTGATGGACAAACCAAAACCAATTCAAATTTAAGGGGGCGCTCATATGGAAAATCATTAGTTTCAGCAGATTTTGAATTTTAAATGCTGTTGAACTTCTTACTTTGAATTGTTTAACTCTGAAGGTGTACTTTTTGAGTCAAAAATATTCAAATATTTTCAAGCCCTCAAAGTCAACGGTCACAATTCCAAGTGTGTTTTTTCAGAGTAAAGAAGTGAGAAATTAAACTGCACGTAAAACAGAAAATCTGATGAAACAAATGATCTTTCTTACACTCACAGTAACTCAATCCAACTGTGCCGTCGACTAGCAGAAGAAATCGACCTTGGACTTTTTTTTTGTAAGCTGATCTTATCAATAGGTTCATTTTAAGTAATCTAGTTTGAAATAGTAGAACAGACTTGCAAATCTAAAAAGTGAACACATACTGGTGCAAAATACAGTAAAAAAACAAAAACCTCTGAGGCACTTTACCTTATGACAATAAATGTTCTTTATTAGAACACGGACGGCCTACACCAGGGGTCTCCAACCTTTTTTTCTCCAGTGAGCTCCTTTATGAAACAAAAATGCCAGAGAGCTACCAATTTCTAACCTGATTCATCAGACGGTTTCACTTGGTGGAAACAGTTTGACCTCACAGCTTTAGGATTTGTTCGCTCGACAGTAGGTGGGCACTTTGTATGTAATGCGCTGCTATCAATCAATCAATCAAACTTTATTTGTATGGGACATTTATACATTTGAAATGTAGCACAAAGAGATTCACATGCAACAGAAAAATTACAAAAACAACTCTCCCCCTCCCCATGTATACAACAATTTAAACAGAAACATAAAACAGAAACATAAAGCTCTCAAAAGTTATAGTCAAAATGAAAATGGAGAGTTCAGATCAGATGGAGACTAAGTAAAATAGTAATGAAATTTAATTTAAAACAACTGTAATAATAACAATAATAATGATAATTTAAGTTAAAACAGGTAAAAGTTTCAATTAAAAGCTAAATAAAAAAGATATGTTTTGAGTTTAGTTTTAAAAATCTGAACACTCACAGCAGACCTCAGATCCTCAGGTCGACTGTTCCACAAACGGAAGCCGTGAAAGCTAAAAGGCGCCTCACCGTGAGTTTTAGTTTGGACTCTTGGGACAGTTAAAAGATGAGACCTGAGGACCTGAGAGTCCAAGAGGCTCATGTGATAAAAGCAGATCAGATAAATAAACAGGACTAAGATCATTAAAGAGATTTATAAACCAATAAAAGTAAAATAAACCAATTCAAATCCTCGATCTCGGGAATCGTTGCCAACACAGAATGTCTGTCTCTTCCCCCGAACTCGCACTTCCAGGGTTCTTGCAAATCGTCTAGTGTATTCTGATTCCTGACCTAATCGTGGAGATAAATGAAGTTAAGCGGAGGCACTAGGTGGCACCAATTTCAGCAGTCACAAAGAAACTGAGTAAATAAAAGAGTCACTGCCTTAGATGAGGAACAGTTCGATGCTCATGAAACATAAACCATTGTCCATTTATCAGTGCACCAAGTTCAGCATCAAAATAATACATTTACAATGGTAATTAACAACATTTTACTTATTATCCACAATACACAGAATTCAGAAATCCTTTTGTGAACTACTTGGAAGGGAGTGGAGAGTTACTGGTGGCTCCTGAGCTGCAAGTTGGAGACTCCTGACCTTTCGATGTGCAGTGTCTCTTCAGGGCTTCAGGGAAAATCAGCTGTGGCTATATATATATATATATATATATATATATATATATATATATATATATATATATATATATATATATATGTTGGGAACGTCTCTCAGAGCCTCTGTCAGAGGGATTTTGACATGGAGTCTGAGTGGGCTTTGTTCTCGGGCTCTATTGTCGATGCAGCTGCTTGCAGCTGTGGTGGTCTGTGGTGCCTGTCACGGTGGCAAACAACGAACCCGATGGTGGACACCGGAACTAAGGGAAGCCGTCAGGCTGAAGAAGGAGTCCTACTGGGCCTTGTTGACTGCTGCCTCCATAACCCGGATAATTGGGAGAAAATGGATGGATGAGAAATTATAACATTGAAATCATTTGTTATTTGTATCTTTTAAAGTGACAGAGTTTGGGTGTCGTCTCCCTCGTGTGGTTCACATTTACCTTCGATGTATTGATGGTGACTCTGCTGAACTATGAGCTTTAAAACAACTCAAGTCATGTAAGTTCAGGTCTGTGCATAGAAAACATGTCACCACCTCAACATTACAACTAAACAGAAGATGATGTTTTGATGATGTTTACAACTTTGTATTTGTTTCCTTTTTTTGGAGCGTATTCTGCTGTGGTGAGTGTGAAAAGGAAGGAAACACAATGACAGACATAAAACAGTGACACATTCAGTCTACTTTACGATCATGAAGTGCATAACCCCACCCCTCTGTCAGAAGAGTGTATAGTGTTGTGTTTAGTTTGAGTGTGTTCAGACTGTGAGGATGGGAGCCTCTCTTCTCTGGACTCTGCGCTCCATCTGTGAGTACTACACTGTCAGTCTCCATTAAAGCCTTTAGACCTGGATCACTACATTAAGGTAGATTCATGTTTTTATTTCAGTGTTTTGTGTCGCCGTCTGCAAACACACAACAGGTAATGAACTCAGTTTCATGTGGACTTGGCAGCTACACTCTTCTTCATTCATTTCCTGCTTCTGTTGACTTGTCTAATTTATTCATTCGAACACTCCAGCTATCGTTATGTTATGGACCCAAAAATAACCTTGGACTTGTTAGAACAATATGCTCATAAAAGAAAACCAACTGAAGCCATTGTTTTAATGTAAATGTAAAGTCCCAGCAGCCTGTCTCCTCTGATCTGTCTCTAGAGTTGTGGACCATCATAAAATATAGATCTTTTTCCATCAGTCTGGTCATACTCTGCCTCTCCTTTGTTAAGTTACAGGAGACAGAGTCACTCTACATGTTCCTCAACAGTCTGTGTATCTGGAGGACACAGTGTATATGAAGTGCTCAGCTCATGGTGAAAAACAACTGAAGTTTTACAAAGATGGGACACTTGTACAAAAGGACTCACGACATGAGCTGCACCAACAATCAAACTTTGCAGATCTGATGGATTTCTCCAGTGTCAGAATCAGATGAGGGTCTGTACTCCTGTGGGGTCAGTGAGGAACAACAGTCAAACACCTGGAGACTCTCAGTAACACGTCAGTATTTAACACCACCACATTTACTCTGGTCTGCAGTTATATTCTTTTATGGATTTATGTCTGAACATTTCACCATCTTTTTTCCTTCTTTGTAGAAAAACAACGAACTGTCACTGTGAGACCATCGTCCTCAGTTATCCCAGTAGGGGGCAGTGTGACTCTGAGCTGTGACATAGAGGAGTTTACAGGGACATACACATGGTTCTACAGAGATATTTATGATCAAACTGAAAACATCAGACCTCACAGAGTGTCAGTGTCTCCAGAGGAGGAGAGTACAGATGTAGAGGATAGGACGGGTTCATCATCACATCTCAAAGTTCTGCAGTCACTGTCAAACAAACTGGTGAGTCTTTCTCTGTCCCTGTGCTCAGATCAGTGTCTCCTTCTGTATTTGAAACATTTCTTTATTTCCAGATGAAACAGTGTTTTCCAAACTGGCCTGTGTTATTTGTGGGAGAGAGTCTGACTCTCAGCTGTGAGGTGGAGGGAGCAGACACACAGTGGACCTATGAGTGGAGCAGGAGCAGACTGAACCCACCTCCAACAACCAGAGAATACACAGTGTCCAGAGTGACTGAGTCTGACACAGGAGCCTACAGCTGCAGAGCCCAGAGAGGCCCACACCTCACCACTGTGTGGAGCACCACCTCTGTCTCTGTACTCAGTATGTGCACAGTCACTGTAGTGTGGCTTTGTCCTCCATGTTCTGAATGTGTGAACTTCATGTTTTAATGATGTATTCTACAGGCAGAGCTCAGGTCACAGTGCGTCGACTCTCAGAGGTGCAGACAGGGGGCAGTGTGGTGCTGCTCTGCTCTGTCTCTCCACTTTCCTCTGGGTGGAAATATGAGTGGAGCAGAAATGAGCAGCTCTTTAACCAGTCTTCATCTGAGGCACAGGTCTCAGTGTCAGAGGGAGGGGAGTACCAGTGCAGAGCCAGCAGAGGAGAGTCTCCCGACTTCACTGAGCACAGCCCCAAGTTCACACTCATAAGCACTGGTCAGTTTGACTCTAACATGTGTCTTCTACTTCCATGTGTATGTGCAGTACATGTTCTTTTGTGTGGTCATGTGTGTGCCCAGACCCCAGAGCGCCCTCTCTCTCTGTGGAGCCCCCCTGGTCTCCGCTGTTCTCTGGAGACATGTCCATGTCCCTCACCTCTGACACTCACTAAACTCTGACTCACTGAAGCCTGTGGAACTTTTCTTCAAGATGGACAAAGATAAAAGTCAAACAAAGTCAAAAATAAAGTCAAATGTCTCTTGTGACCACAGGTGCACCCAGAGGCGAGTCCTCTTCTCTTTCCGTGATGTGGGTGGTTGGACCTGTGTGTGCGCTGGTTTTACTCATAACACTGCTGCTTCTGTGGCGTTTTCTAAAGACTAAAGGTGACACATGAGACTATATATACTAATATATATACTGTATTTATATTATTGGTTAGTTTCACTTTTATTCACAAATGTTTTCTCTTTATTTACAGAGCTGTGCTTTCCAAGGTTGGCTGTTCTTTGTGTGTTTGATTTCTTGCTAAATATTTATAAGACACTTTAATTTGTGTGATCATTGACTATTTGTGCAGGACCAATCAGAGCTCTGCTGAAGATCATGTGACCAACAATGACCACGCCTCCCCTCCAAATGGTAATTTATTAGTGTAGAAGAAACAGAGTGAAGTGAATGAGTTGAATGTTGTTTCTGTGGACTTATCTGTACAGTGAGTCATCTGATTTCCTTGAACAGGCAGGTCAGTGGAGTTGGTGTAAATGACGCCTCAATCACTTAATCATTGAAAATATAAAATGTCTGCTTCACTTCCAGTCGCCTCCATTTCAGAATTTGGAACATTCTGGTGACACAGGACTTTAAAGAGTCTATACAACTCAATGGAACATAAGGAAACCTGTTTTCATCGAGCAGAAATCACATTTAAAATGTTTAATGTCCCACACCACTAAACACACTCTTGATACTAAAATAAAAAGTGTAGAGGAGAGTTTTACTTTTCCTTTGTCCATAAAACTATTTGTTTTATTTTACAGATGTTACTTATGCCATGATTGAATTTAAAAATAAGAGAGGTGAGTTTGTCCCTACTCTGTATTAATATATATTTTCTAATTTATAATTAAAATGTTTATATATAATTTCAGAGAGGAACAACAGCGCACAAGGTAAGAGCTGTTTTTTTGTGATGTTAATCCACACTCTTCAGGTACAGAACTCTTAAGGTCTGTTTAGACCAGAGCCTCAAAAAACGCCCGAAACACCTCTAGTTGGAGCCTTTGAATTTGAGTTTAGACTCCCCTGACACACGTCTTGGACGCCGGGGACGAACTGGAGAAAAATACTTCATTGTCCAGGGCGTCTGTTGGCCTGGAAACAAGTTCCCGGTCCGGGTCCTTTCCTGGAATAATGACAGACCAGACTGAGAAAGTGGCTTTTGTGTTTTTATTAAAACCATCAGCTGAGAAAATCGACTCGACAGCTGCAGCGTGACAAACGTCCACATAGACTTTACATATAAAGTGGACGCCTTGATGCCGTCATCTAAACGGACCTTTAAAGGTCCAAATCTGTGAGTGATATCAGAGCCTGGTTTAAAAAAAAAAATTACACATGTGTTTTATGTCATTTGAGATTCTGATAGATTTTCTAACCTCAAATTTGTATTCTTCAATTCGTCTGAACAGAAACAATAATATCTGGACCTTGGAAATTATATATGTGTGTGTGTGTGTATTTCTCACCTTCCATGGTGGTTGGTCTCTCACCCTCATCCAGCTCGAGTCCTCTACCAGAGGCCTGGGAGCTTGAGAGTTCTGCGCAGTATCTTTGCTCTTCCCAGCACTGCACTTTTCAAGACTGAGATGTCCTGAGATGATATTGTACAGCTCGAAGCACTCAGTGATCCATGTGTGTGGCATTGAGTCAGAGGCTTTCTTCTAATCAATCCAGGCAGTGCACAGGTTGGTCTGACAGTTTCTGCAGTCACAGGTGACTGTTCGGTCACCAGAAGTTGGTGCTTGGCTCCCCTGGTGTTTTTGCTGATGCTCTTCTGTGCTGCGCTCATGTATTGATCCATGTATCACTTATCTTAGCCACGATGATGCCTGACATGAGCTTCCATGTTGTGGAGAGACAGGTTATTGGCCGACAGTTGGATGGGACGGCACCTTTTGAGGGATCCTTCAGGATCAGGATCATACGCCCTTGGGTTTGCCATTCAGGGTGAGTTCCATCCTTTAGCAGCTGGTTCATTTGTGCTGCCAGACGCTTGTGGAGAGCAGTGAGCGTCTGTAGCCAATATGTGTGGATCATGTCAGGGCCTGGTCCAGTTTTTCATACCTGAGACTCTTTCCTGGATGTCTGCCACAGTGATGGTGACTGGATTCTGTTCTGGGAGGTTGCTGTGGTCTTCTCTCAGATCCACCAGCCACTGTGCATCAGTGTTATGTGATGCCTCCCTCTCCCATGTGCCTTTTCAAGACCTTACGTCTCCAGCCTTGGTGGGTCTGCTCTGGTGTTATTACCCTGCCACTGTGCGTACACTATTGCCGGTTGTGTTGCGAACAGCTGGTTTATTCCTCTGGCTTCGTTATCTCGTGTGTACCTCTTGGAGCTTTTGTTTGGCAGTTTCGAGTGCTTCAGGTATGGGCGTCTGGTTGTACCTCTTGGATACTTGTTTTTTCATTGCACCTTTCTGGGCCTCTGACAGTTGGCTCACTTCTCTCCATGCCTCCTTGATTTTTGCCTCTAACCATCTTTTCCATGGTGGATAACACATCTCATGGCTCCCATGGTTGCTCTTATAGTCCAGCACCTCTTGGATCACTGCTGCTGAAGTGTAGATCAGCTCATTGGTTTCAGTGATTGTTGTGGTAGGGATCGCTCTCAGTGCTGCATTCACATCTTCTAGGAGACTTTTCAGATGGACTTCACTAGCCTCTGTAACTGTGTCGGGTTGCCTTGCATTCATTTGGGCCTTGATCTTATCTTTCAGGTCAGTCGCTGCCTCGCTCAGCGTGATACTTATTGGGGCTACGTACCCAATCTCTGGTTGGGGAGTTGGTGTCAACTCCCCTCTGACCTGGCGTCCTGGCTCCTCTTTGCCGTAGCATTTGTGTTGTACCTCATCACTTTCTAGTTGTGATGCAGTTGCTGTTTGTGGAGTTGGAACACTGAGCTATTAGATGTTTGCCATTATTATGTTAAACACACTCTTGATATTAAAATACTCTTGACACTTTTCCTTTGTCCATAAAACTATTTGTTTTATTTTACAGATGTTACTTATTCCATGCTTGAATAAAAAATATGAGAGGTGAGTTTGTTGTGTCTATTCTGGATTTATGTTTATTTTAAACTTTTTCTAACTAAAACTTACATTTTTTAAATATATAATTTCAGAGAGGAACAACAGCGCACAAGGTGTTTTATGTGACGTTAATCCACACTCTTCAGGTACAGGTAAACTCTTAAAGGTCCAAAGCTAAGTGAGTTTAATAATACTAGGCTCTGAATAAACAAAAAAAAAAAAAAATCACATAAATAAGAAATAATATATATAAGGCCCTTGGTTTTTATCAATAAGTAAACCTGTAAACAAACCCAGAATTGTGGGATTTCTCCTTCTGCAAGTGAAGTGGAAACAGTTTCAGGGAATTAAAATTATTTGGAATTTTACGTTATTTTGTCCTTCTTTCTTAACAGCAAAAACCACCTTGGACGACAGCGTTACTCTCAGATCAATATCCTGATACTTAAAGAACAGTTATGGACAATGTATAACTCATGTGTTTTTAAAAATGTTACACATTTATTTCTTTTTCTTTAACTATATATCTAATTATATATATATATATATATATTTCATATGTTGTTGTTAAATGTGCTTAAAGGTGACGTTGCATACTTACAAATGTGTAAAAGTTAAATATAGTAAAATACTGTATATATAAAGTCATAAGGAGAAACAGCAAAGATTCAATGATTAAATGATTTGTGTTTGTTATGTAGATTTATTTCATTATTTTTTCTATAATCTGACAAAAATGTTCTATATTTGTGTCAATGTACAGAACTACAGATGGTTCATGTTTAATTTTTTACATTCTTTAATAAATGTGTTTTTAGCAATTTACTGTTTCTTTTTTTATGTATATATTTTTGAAATGTGGACAAAATATTTTAAGATGGGAGCATTTTTTTTTTTTTTTTTTTTTTTTTTTTTTACAGACCCACAAGTAAAAAAATTGAGCTACATTTTTTTATCAAAAAGTTGTCAAGAGCAGACAGTCAAACTCAGGCCCGGGGGACAAATTTGGCCCAAGGTATAATTATATTTGGCCCACAAGATCATATGTATCATGTGTATTATTTTAAATATGTATCAGAGCTGCTCGTTGGCTACAGACTCTAGAGACTTTATTTATTTAAAATTGTGTTATTTTATATTCTGTTTGTTTTGGATTCAATGTTTAACAAAATATTATTAAATATTTATGTTAATAAGAAAAGGTTTAACATTCCAGATCTTGAAAGAAAAGAAAACATGCAGATGTTGTTGAGATTTTTCAATATTTCAATAAATATTTAGTTTGTCCACGACTTAAGTCCCATTTTTAATGCCTCTGTGAGTTGAGTTGACTTCCTGGTCTAGAGGCTCGGTCAGGATGCCCTTTATCACAGATTTATTTATTTTGTGTCTGAAATATTGGATTCTGTGAGGAGAAGAGATATAATGCTGTTCTACATTGTCCTCATGTGTTTTGGGTTTCAATTTAACAATGACTGTCACTACAGTTTTTACTTCGTGTTGATAGAACCAATAATTCTGGAGAAATCCACATTTAAAGTTTGGAGTGAGTTTGTACAGTGTATTAAGTCTAAATATATGAGGTTATTTTTGTCTAATTGATTTTCATAAATGCACAGAGGATGATCTACAAATAGTCTTTGTTTTGTGCGCATGTTTGATATCACAAATGCAAATTTAATAAACTGTATTCTTTACAAATTTTACATATTTGTAAAATGTGATTTGTGTTTGTGGTTCACCAATTAAAGAATTCACATATTTCCGCTATGACGTGTTTTGAGACATTATTTACACAAAATGCACAAATCCAGACAGATCCACAAATAAAACACACACTTGACACAGGAGTAACTCCCTCTCTCCACCAGCAGGGGGCAGCAGCTGACACACGAAACATTTAACACTGTCAAAATGGATGCATCAAGTGAACAGCTCCTTTTACCTTCTGTTGGAGATTTGCAATTCCAGGTTTGANTTTTTCACACACTGAGAGTTCAAAATGCTTCCACACTGCATGATGTCATTAGGTGCTTCTTTTCTGTTTCTGTTGTCTTATTTAGATGCAGATGAATGAACAGTGGATGAGCTGATATTACTGTACACTGTGGCGACATCTGGTGGTCATTACTTGCACTTACACTTTTTTATTTTTATTTTTTTTTGACAAAGGTAACTTCAGTCCAGTTCAGATTACCTCCTCCTGAAACCTTTGCTTCTGTGTGTCCGCTGATCATGTCAACACGAAGCAAAGACAACAGACCCAGAAACCCCGTGTAACCCAAACACTGGAATAAAACACACATCGTCAAATTTCTTTCTGTCTCACTCGGCCCGTTGTGAGTTTTTAGGGCGATGATTTGACTGAGAGATGAGAAGATCCAGTATCATGGCTCTGTCGTATTTGAATGAGGTTTAGATCTGGTCCACTCCACCGTGAAAGAAGAAAAACAGACCACGAACGTCCCATTTGCCTATTGAAATCCTGTGTATAAAATATCATAGGACACGTTTAAATTAGATCTGTATTGTGCTTTTTAGCTGATTTATGCTAAACAAACTAATACCTGGCAACGCAAACTGTAAGTCTGTTATAAAAGAAGCGAGAGCGCAACGACAGCCGAGAGCACGAGGAAGAGACCGGACACACAGAGGTGAGTCGAAATGTTCAAATTCTCGCCAAGGGATTTCTGAATTATCCATACTGGGCTGAATATATAACATTTGATGAATTAAATGCCCGTTACCAGTGTAAAAGTGTCATTTTGAAGCCTAACTGTGCACTAATAAATGGACAGTGGTTTATCTTTTACAGGCGTCTAAGGCTGCGTTCAGTCTGCAGCCTGAAGTGACCCAAATCCGATTTTTTGGCCTCTATGTTCCTGTATCTGATCTTTTAACAGTCTGAACCACACAGATCCGATTTTTTCAAATGTGACCCAGGACACTTGGATATGTGCTCCTGAAACTGATACATATCTGATCTTTTGACATGCGACCTTCAGTCTGAGCGGACAAGACGCATTCATCTGACCTACACATAGGTCGGCTATAGGCGAGTTTCATTGTTGACAAAAGCGCGCGTTGCATGCTGGGAATTATTTTGGTCAGCGGTAAGAAACACTAATTCAACATGACGGACGGAGCGAGAAAGCACGTAAAGGGTATTGATCCTGGTTATTTATCCACTCTAACGGCAGAGGACCCAAGACCATTTGACCAGAAATTGATCATAAACATCGACGGACGACAAATCACCCTTTTCAACCCCGACAGAGCCTGGACCAAAACAAATTTCTGGTCAGAATCGCCAACTACCTGGACAAATATTCACTTGGGCGATATCCACAATGACTTGGTGGAAACTCCTGGGCCATTCACAGCAGAAAAGATGAAAACCTCCAAGAGTCTCGATGTGTTGTTGAACTTGTTGGAGTCCACGGTTTGTTAGGATCTTCTACGTTTGCTCTGCGGATGTTTGAAAGTCGTTTAATTCACCGTTAGCGGTTCTTTTCACTCAGAATACGAAAAAAACCTTTTCCTTCTTCTGTGCTTCTATTTGTGCATCCGATAATGCAGCAGGAATTTACCATTATCGGGATAAATACGCGAGGTTACACACTGTGTTTGACGCTACCGTGTTTCTGCCTCCGACCAAAATATTTCCCAGCAGCAACGGGCTTTTAATAACAATGACGTCAGCTGAAACTCGACTATTGTGCAGTAACAAGCACCTGTTAAGCCAATACAGCCCAACGCCGACGCGTTTGCTCACGGAAATAAGCCGCTGAAGATGTGTTTCCTCCCGCGAGAGTGGCACAAGTAGGCGCTCACAAATGTACACAAACGTTCTTCTCGTCATGCGAAAATTATTAACGAACTCTGTAACACTTTATTTTGTAATTGTGTTTTTATACGTTCTTTTTACACATAATGCGGATGAATGAAATGTGAAATGTGGAACCTGCCTCTCAAATCTGCAAAACAAATTTACCTACGGGTACAAATACAGCGACCTGACCTAACCTGTTCATGATGGTGTTTACGGCGTTTTACGTGTTATGTTATGTCAGCTCCCTTCATCTTTCTAAAGCGGAAGTCTGTGAACTGTTTCTTGAATTAAATTATTTTAGGTGAATATTGTGAATTAAAATGTGTAAATAATAACAGAAAGATCCACAGGTGTCGTACGTTGGGACTACAGAGCAGGCAATACGTGATCTTTAACATGACTGTAATGATGAGAGCTCCAAACTCCAACTCATTTCTGTGTTTTTGTCTCCTCAGCGATGTTTTCCAACGTCTCCAACTCCACCTCCTTCCTTCCTGTACAATCCCCGAACTTCACCGACTCCTCTTCCTGTTTCCTGTTCCCCTCCAGTTACACCATCTTGATGTCCTTCTCCGTCACCGACGTCGCCGTTCTTCTGCCCTTCTGCCTCGGCGTCTGGTTCCTCGGACTTCAGCGCAGGTGTTGGCAAAAACAGAACTCGCACCTGGATGTTTTTACGTACCACATGGTCACTATGGAGATGGTCGGCGTTGTGGCGTGTGCCGTGTATCTCTACGGCTTCGTCCAAACCCAGATTCTGATGATTTTCACAGCGCTGGAAGTTTACGCCAACACCACGTACGGACAAGTGTACTTCCATATTTTAACTTGCCTCGATCGCTACGTCGCCGTGGTTCATCCAATCGTGTACATGCGTCTCAAAGAAAGGGGCGGGACTAGACTCAGGAACAGTCTGATTGGCTGCGTGTGGTTTCTGTTCATCGTCAAATTCTTTCACGACTTTGAATACGTGATCCAGCTTTTCTGCTTGGGGTTTTCCATCGCCGTGGTCATGTTTTGCAACTTCGCCGTCCTGTACGTTCTGCTTCGTCCGCCGCCAGGGGAGAGAGTCCACATAAGCCAATCAAAAATGAGAGCTTTCAAAACCATCGTGCTCATTTTGTGCGCCCTGCTGTTCCGAATGATCCCGCATCTGTCTGTACTCGGATTCTTCGACTCAAATTTACTCAGCCCACAAACACGATGCGTGGTTCTGGTTTCTGGAGTGTTTTTTGGTTTGCCCAGTAGTGCAGTTTTACCTCTGCTGTTTCTGTACAGGGCTAATGTCATGTGCTTTAAAAAAGGATCTGAAGGTCGTGGAACCACCACAACTTCCTAAAGAGGGAGTTTTTACTTCTCTGGGACATT